GAGGGGCACAAGCAGGCCCTGTCCGTATGGGTCATTCTTCTGTTGTTTGACGTGCAGGCGGAAACCCTGGCCTCGCCCGAGGTCCGTCAGGTCGTCCCTCGTGAGTGCTGTCACCTCCGAGATCCGCCTCATGCCGAAGAAGGCTATGAGGGCCATGATGCCGTTCCTCGTGGTGCCCAGCGCCCCATAGTTCAGCCAGAAGGGGATGAGCCGCTGCAGCACCTCCACTGGGAGTGGTTTCTTCGGCCGATACGAGGCGTCCAAGGTGCGGTGGAGCCCCTGCAGGAAGAGGCGCACCTGCGGCTTGGTGAAGGGGGGCGGGGGGTGGTTGTGCACCTTGTGCCACGCCTGAGTGGCCGACCGCAGCTGCTTCACCTGGGACCAGTGGCGGTCCTTTGCGAAGGCGGCGAAGGCCCAGATGGTCTTCTCGGGTGAGTCGAGTGGGAGGAATGACGGGAAGTCCTTCTCGGCGCGCTGCAGGACGCCCTCATACGCCTTCTGCGTCGATGGTGCCCAGACCGCCCCGAATGCCTTCCTGACCAGCTCGGCCACTTCCGACGCGTCGCTCGGTGCTTGGAGGCGGTCGCTTGACGTGCCTTTGACCGTGCAGAGGCACGGGATGGGGGCAGCGAGGGAGTGCGCCTGCATCTGGGTGGGTGCGATGGTGCCTGTCCCCCTGCAAACTGCGCACACCGGCGATGACCTGAGGGCGCATCCATGACACGGAGAGGGGAGTGATGAGCGACTGCATCTTGCTTCCTGGTATGCGTGCCGCACTCATGCACATCGCCACGCACTTGCCCGGGCCCCTTATCGGTTGTATCATGTGTGTGTGCCTGCAGGTGGCTTGTCTGCCGCGTGTCCGGGCCATTGTGGCTGTCGTCACATTCACGTGCCATGCGCAGTCCCTGTGTGAGTATCATTGTGGCCATCGCCATACTCATGTGTCAGTCGCGGTTCATGCACGAGGTGCTGTGGCTACCGTCATGATTCCTATGTGACCTGCCGTCACCGCCAACACTCTACGACTCGCTGCCCCTCGTGTGTCCGGACAGGTAAAGCACGACCATGGGGAACGGGGCGGGTTGGCGAAAGTGCCATTGTGCATCAGACGACTCCTGTGCTTCTGACGCTGTCAGTAGGGTGTTCACTACTCGTGCTCCTCGGGCCCAGCTACGCGCGACCTTGAAGCGTGAGTGCCGACTGTAGGCGCTGCGGACGGCCTCTACGCGGTCGCGGTGGCCGACAACCACGACCGTCTGACGGTGGTGGAAGAACCACTCCATGGCCGCATCCATGGCCGCCAGCGTCTCGGCGGGGGTGGGTGTGAAGACTGCTGGGCCCCCGGCGTGCATGCTGGGGCCTCCCTCGGCTGCTGCTGTGTGGTGTTGGGCCGTCAAGGCCAATTGAGGGGACGGGCAGAAGAAGTGGTGCTCGCAGCGGATATGCAGGCGCCTCTGCAGGGCTGACCACGACCTGGCCGTCAGGCGGTGGGGCACGTCGCTTGACGGCTCGGCCAACCGCGACTGGGCGTCGGCCGCCTGGTTGTGTTCGCCCGGTATGT